TAATAATAAGTGTTTGAGTTTTAGAAATTATTAATCTATTTTTATTAATGAGTTTTAAGTCTTCCGCATTGTATTTTGTTCATTATGTTTGATGGGGCTTAGATTGGTTGGTTCGCTCACATAGGAGGCTAAGTGTGGGTGCCACTCACGACACATTTTGGGTCGTGACAGACTTGGTATCAGAGCATTAAGTTCGTTGGTCTCATCACACAAGAACTAGTCTAGTAGAGTCTTAAGGAACGGTAGGGGGACGCCTTTACTTTTCTTTGAGAGGCTATAAGACTTTAGGAAAATTCCATTCTTTCTTTCTTTCTTTCGTGCTATTACTTGGGTCCAATTGGTATCTCGGTGATACAAATTGGTATCTGACCATCTTCACTCTATTTTGCAGATGGTTAGAACTAGAGCAACGACTATGCCAACACCAACCCCGGCAAGACAAGAAGCGTCTGAGCCAGCCTATGGGGCTGTAGCTCAAAGAGGAGTAGTGTCAAGAGGCCGTGGAAGAGGTCGTGGGAGGACGTCCTCTAGAGGAAGAGGACAAGCACCTAGCCCATCTGATACTAGGGCGGTACCGAGATATTTGCAATAAGGCTCAATTTTATTTGTTCCTCTATTTAAACTTGATGTGTTAGCTGAACAGGATACACAATCTACAGTTGTCTTTCCTAGTTGATCGTCAGGTTGTATTTTGGTCTTCAATTTTGTATTAGGGTTTTTTTTCTTGTTTAGTATTCTTATCTCGACATTATTTCTATATTATTTGGGGATTTTAGGATCGATAATTCATGTGAATTGCAGCCAGAGGATAGGTGTTAGTTTTTTGCTTGAGCTTAACAATGGGATGAATATTGCCAATTTTTTATACTTTAAGGATGTTTTTTTTGTTACCAAGCATAATTCAAAGATGCACCTTAAATGATACGGATAGTCTAAGGATGTTTTTGTCCAAAAATTCTACTATTATAGTGTAGAAGCTTCTTATATAGTTATGAAGAAATTTCCAAAATCACTTTAAAAGATGCGGATCAAGAGGGATAAGAAACTCAAGAAAGTGATCTATTTTGGTAAATGAAAGAAAATGATGTTTTTGCGGGAGTTTAAGGAGATTTCTCTTACTTGTCTTAGAGAGAATCTAGATGAAAGACCAACTGCTATGGAGATTTTGAAAACTCCATTCTTTAGTGAAATTGAAAGGTTTAAGAAATTTGTGTTGAATACTAATTAAAATTTGAGTAGTGAAAGATCAAAACATAAAATATTAATATATATAGTGTATATTACTTTTGCCTAGGTATGAATTGAGCCTTTCTCTTAGTTGGGATCATTTGGTTCATATGCATGAAATGGAACTTCTGCGGATCTGTCGTCTAATTCATCCATTTGTTTCTTTATTTCGATGAAATATTGGTATGTTCATGTGCAGTTGATTATTCTCTCTGGATAATGCATTTGTTTGTGATCACTAGATGAATTATGGCTCTCCAAATTGGGCTGCTAATATATTTCTTGATAGTAGGCAGAGCAAACACATTCCTATTAGGATCTTGCACTTAATAGATGTTTTTTTAACTGTCTAGCAGTTGCCATGATTAACAACTAAGTACCCTCATGATCTCTCACAATATGCTCACTTGATCCCATTGAAATATATTAGATCTCATATAGTTTGTTAGATTTACTAGGTTGAAATTTGAAGCCTCAATTTGTATATTAATGCTAATACTTAAAAGGTTAGGTATGCTTTTGTATTTGCCTTCAAAATAAATTTTATTCCCAATGTTTAATGCTTTCATTTTTCCCTCTACTTTTAATACAATAAAAATATGAAGAAATATTGTGGGAAAAACCAGTGTCTCAAGCAGATATTGATTAATGTGAAGTCTTTTAACAAGTTGTGGAGGAGAAAAGAAGAGAATAATATATTGTACGGTCTCGGTTCTGGAGCAAAAAGTTACTACAGAAAGAAACTTTCTGCCTCATTATTAGTACTTTCTTCAATTTCTCGATCAACACCGATAACAAATATGGATGAGTTTGTAAAGCAAGTGCTTTTTTCACTTATTAATCACTTTATTCACGTTATTATGGGGAGAGTACAAGAAGGGAGTATTCCCATTCAAAGCACATCAACAGTTACACCTTTAGTGCCTCCTTCACCTACTACTAATGAGGACGAGGTTTATCTTTCATGTGAAAATTGTATCCTTGTTCTTATGTTGTCTGCTTTTTTTGAAAGTACAATTTCTATAGTAATAATATTTGATGAATGTAGGTTCTTTTGAGAATAGTTGATATATTGTTTTGGATGTTTGAATCGAAAATATAAGATTTCAATATTCCATATATTTTAAACCATCGATGATATTATTTTATACGTTTGTTATTTGGGGGTATTTGGCAATTTAAGTTGAATTATATTTGCAACATATTTAAATAAATGAAATTTACAGGAAAAGATTTAGAAACAAACATGGCGACAGACCAACGATGAACTTGTTTTGTGCCAAATGTGCTGGCTCAAATGACGAATTGTGTTGCGACAGATTAGCGATGAAAAATCTGTCATAAATCTATTAAAAATGACGGAATGAATTGTGAAATTAGCAACAAATTTATAAGTATAGTGACGGATTAGTCCGTCACTAAATTTGTGACAAAATACATTTTTTCATCACTACGAGATTACTAATGAGCGATATAGAAACAGACAATAATCCATTGCTAATCCATTGCTAATGTTGTTTAGCGATGGAATATCATAAATTAGCGACGGATTTCGTCCGTCGGTAAAACCAGAATTTTTTATAGTGAATAGGAGGCTATTGTATGTTAGGATAATCTCAATTTTTCATTCTTTAAGTCGTGCCATAAAGTTTAAATTTTTAAAGTGTCTCTTCTTATTCCTTATTCTATGGTCTTTAGGATATGACCACTTGAGGGTCTCATGCTACAAGGATCTAGGGAGAAAAAGGTTAGTAATAAGGTCAATTGTGTATATGTGACTACATGAGTCTTGATATGATAGAATTAGATGATTTTCTTGGGTATAGGTGGGTTGATTTATGGTTATGTGTTCTGTTAGAGAATTTGAGAAATGGTTGTGTTTAAGTTATGCCTAAATATTTTGAGTGAGGAGACTCCTTTAAAAGAGGATAAAAGTGTAGATCTCCATGGTTTAGAATCACCTTGTGTGATGAATGTGAAAAAATGAGTGGTTACTTGCTTCGACCTTAGAAGTTCAAAGAAATGGTGCTTATAAAAACACGTGTAGGCTTACTCCCAAGGGGGGGATAATGTGCTTTGATAGCAAGGTTGTTGAGTGTTTAAGATGTTCATGATTTGGATTGGCTCAAAATTCTCACTTTAGGAGGTGTAATTAGTTTGAGAAGTTTAGTCCCTGTTTAGTAGGCTTATATAAGACTTTTAGTGGTGTTGGTAAGGTTGCTTGTGAGATAGAGTTTGTAACGAGAACCTCCCTAATTTAGAATTTACCGATTGGGATCTTATAACAAGTTAAGAAATAGAGTTACTCTTGTTGACCTTGGTAAAGTTTGGATGCATAGCTGTTAGACCTCTATTATTTTGAAGAACCTGATAAGGTTATTATAAGTGTTGGTCAATCTTTGGGGAAGTTTGAAAGGAGTATTCTGTGAGGTCCCAAGGACAAGATTATATGCTTTGACAGACATATTGATTGAGAGTCTCGATATCCTCATACCTTATTTATATTACTATTCTAGCTTGAGACCAAGAGTTCCTTTTTTGGGCTTGTGTTATGTTCGGAGTCATAAGTGATTGAGAAATTTCCATGATCACCTTACATTATGCATGTTCTTGAGAGAATTCTTGTTTTGTATAAAATGAGTATTCATGAATTACATGTTCCTCATGTTGTTATGTAATTTAGTATGATGATGACATATTTGAACATGAGATGATTTGATGAACATGCTTGGCTATGCTTTTGATGAAGTGGTATATTGGCTCCATAATGTTGTTTTGACCGTACTTTTAGATGGAGAAGGTAGTTTCTCCTATGATTATGTGAGAAATGTTGTTTAGAAGAGTTAGTATAGGATAACTCCCAAGGGAGAGATGGTGTGCCTAGCTAGCAAAGTTGTTATGTGCTTATGTGTTGTCATAATTTCCTTGTATATTATGCATGTCTGTGTAAACTTGTGTTTTGAAAGAAAATGAGTTTATGTGAATTGTTTTCCTTATGTTGTAACGCCTTCAGTATGAGTTGTCTATAGTAATTCATGAGAAGAATATATGAGCATGCTTTAGTTAGGAGTTGAGAGATTCCTCCTTGAATAAAATGTTTTTTGAGAGTAAATTGCATATGAGCTCCGTGAGAGTATGTTGAGCATATTATGACTAGGATATGATAGTTCGTCCTTGAAAATGATTAGTTGTGAGTATTTCATGTATATTGGATTGGTAGATATAGTTCTTACTTCCTCTTTGTTGCATTGATTATGTTGAAATGGAGTTGAAGTTTCCTCCTTTATGTGGTGCATTATTTTGTAATTTCATGCTTTTTGGTTTTTTAGTCTTGAGTCTTAAAATTCGTAAGGTGTCTAGATTGTCATTCGAGGATGAATGTTTCAAAGGGGGAGATAATGTAATACCCAAAAAACTGATAGGTGAAACTAGAGCCTTTGTGCCTTAAAATTTTATGCATATCTTGTAAATATAAATTAGTCCAAAAATTTGACAAAGTATAGGTTCAAGTAAGGGTTCAAGGAAGGTAAATGACTAAAAAATTTAACTAAGTATAGGTTCTAGTAAGGGTTCAAGGAAAATAAATGACTGAAAAATTTGAGTAGGTATATGTTCAAGTGAGGGTTCAAGGAAGGCAAATAATCCAAAAAGTTGACTAAGTATAAGTTCAAGAGAGGGTTCAAAGAAGGCGAAAGACATAACTTCCCTTAAAAGCTCCCTTGGACTTCGTCTTAGTTTTTTTTGGCAAGTCCATGTGGGCAAGGGGTATTTTTGTAAATATTATTTGAAGTGCTACTTTTTAATGGGTATATTTTGAATTAATTTTAAATAAATAATATAATATATTTTATGTCATTTAACACCCAATTGAAAACACTCTCACAAAGATCCAAATTAAAATTAAAAGTTCATCTTCCTCGCAATATTTCTATCTCTGTAAATCCAACAAGAAGAAGAGCAAAAATGTAAGCTTTGGCTGCAATAAATCAAGGGTTTTCATATAGTTATTCAAGGAATCATCATCAAGGTATGGTAGTTTTCATATTTAGGTAGATTCCACGCAAAGAGCCTCTTCAAAACTTCATTTCGAAGCTTCCAATTTTCCCCAATTTCAAGGGTTTTAGTCGAAATTCATGGGTTCAATATAAAAGTGATTTCAATGGTTGGATTATGGTGGTTTATGATTGTATTCATGCTTTATGGTCGAATTTTTGTGAAATTCCCCCACGAACCCATGGGTCCTCTCAATTGCAAAAATTGTGATCTTAATTGAATTAATTGATCTTAGAAGCACGTAAATGGGCATTGTATGAATTAATTGAATTATTGCTCATATCTAATGTATAAATTATAGATGTTGGGTTGAATGTTATTCATGATTCTTGATGGCTATATTCTAAGAATTTGTACGTGAACTTGAAAATTATGTATGTGATTCAAGATTTATGTTGAGAATGAAGATTCTATGATGATAGTGTAGTCTAAGATTCTAGGGTTAATTTGATATAGTCTAGTGATATTTCACAGAAGAGGACAATTGAGTAGTTAGATGTGATCTTTTAAGATTGATGAACTTCTTCTTGAATTGCCTTAGATTAGATGACCTAAATATGAATTTCTTATAAGTAAACCTTGTAGACATGGATGAATTAGTTTAGGGCTTATATGAGGGGTCATGGTTGAGTAGTATTGATATTAAGCTTATTTGATAATATATGACTATACTAGGTTAAGAATAAAGCATGGGGTTAGTTTACCTTGAGAGCTAGGTTTACATGATGACCATGTGAGGTATTGCTTGAGAGTAATGCTTTTCGTATGAATATAACTTCTAAGTCTTAAAGAGTAAAAGCTAAAATGAATGATTTATGCGTGATGAGGCTTTAAGAAGGAAGTTAAGTTGAATTGTATATGGTATTATTGTGGAAGGACTATGTATTATTGTGGAAGGACTTTACCCGCATGATCCATAATATGAGCATATGAGTTTATGCATGAAACAAATGATTTACTTGAGTTATGATTATATCTATGTCTCATGTAGTGAATGCTGATGTGATAAATTATTATGATCTTTGAATGCAAGATATGAAGGGTGTGCATGATTATGATATTTTGTGCATTTTTTATGAACACTTGAGAGTGAAGTGTGTATGATGATAATATTGTTGTTGTGTCAAAGGACAATAACACACACACCCCACGCATGAGCATGACTATGATGTGATAAGGTGTTGATTGATTATTGGATCATGATATTGATCTTATATAATATAGTACTTCTAGATGTTTGGGTTGAGTTTGATTGATAGCCCTTGAGACGTGAAACATTGAATGTTTAAAGTAAAAATCACTAGCCGACTACTTGTTATCCAAGAAAGTGAAATTCAGAAATGTGTTAACTAAGTTTTGTTCAAAAACATGAAATCAATAATAGACAACTATCCAATTGAGCCTTTATGGAATCTTTAGAGTAAAAAATGTAGAAATCTGTATGAGGTTATGATTCACTAAGAAATTGAAGATCCTATGACTATGGTGTAATTGTGGTATTGATTGGAAATGTCATTTTCTCCTAAACCCTTACACATTATGATGCATGAATTATGTATGACTTAATGATCTTGTTGTGTTGAATGAATGGCTATTATAATGAACATACTATGAATATGATGTGATAGATTTACTGACATATATATGATTCTAAGATTTAAAGGATATTCTCATCTAATGAATGAGATATTACGATGTCATGTTGGTTTGAGTGCCTAATGCGTTCTTTCATAAACATGAAGTTAAGTAAAGACTTAATGTGAATTTAAAGGAAATTATGCTTAGCACCGAGTGAATATGAAAATGAGATAAAAGCTTTTATGTTAGAGAATCCGGCTTCCTAAAGTAATCTATCTCATAAGATGGAAACCTTTTACGTTAGTAATTTTGGGTTTCTAGTAGCAATTTGCTTATCCCATGACTATGTGTCCACATATGTCTTTAGCTAGTGTATCAACCTAAAATCCAAATATGTTAGTTCTACCTCAGGAAAGTAGGACACCTCTTTTAGGTATGTGCGTAAGATATCAGATTCTATGTAGCTCACATGGTCTATGTCGGTTAAGGCTATTTCCCTATATGATAAGAAAATGAATTATGACAAGAACATGAGTTATGTATTATGGTCCCTTAAGAGGTTCTACTTAGCATGAATCGGAGTATGAGATTTCATTCATGCATTGCATAAGTAGGCTTTGAGAGTGGTCATGGTATATTTGTCTTATGACATGATGTTCATGAGTTGATGCATGTTTAATATGAATTATGAACTATACTTATGAATTCTTAAGGAGTTCTACTTAGGGTGAATGAGGGTTTGTGACTTCACATGCATTGCATAAGTAGGCTTTGAAAGGGGTAATGGTGTGGTTTCCTTATGCTATATATATATATATATATAGAGAGAGAGAGAGAGAGAGAGTCATACTATGAGTTTATGCATGTAAGATATAGATTGTTGCTAATTATGGCTTTCTGTGTTATAAGCTATGAACGTGAGTGTTTCCTTATCTATGATTGACTATGGATGATATTAAAGCATGATAAGTATGAGTATGGTGTCCTAAAAGTGGTACTTAGTGTAGATAGTATTCTGGGATCCTATCTCTGCATTGCTCAAGTATAACCTAGAGTTACTTATGTGATGGTCTGATTATTATAAGAGGATCGGGATATTTGTAATTATGTATGTGAATTGTCTTATGATTATTGGTACATGCAGTATGTTGTAGACTGTGTTTGTGATTACGTTGGTATCTGTTATGCTATGCTGAATGGTACATAAGTTGTCTTATGGGTTACATCTCAAACTATTTCAAAGATATGTTTCTAAGTTTACGTATATCATGGTTTCAACTAAAATGTCCCCTTTAGATCATGCTTTACGGATTTTTATTTATGACTATCATACTTGGTACATTTTTTGCTAACCTATATTTCTACATTTTCTATAAGTGTAGGGTCCAACGATATTACCTTCCACATTCGTGTCTAGGACCATAGTAGATCAATAAGAAGAAGATTTGTGAGTCCTCATAATATTCGAGATATTGCAGGATTGGTGGTTAGTGTCCTGATTGCCAACAAGTGAAAGGTGAACATCAGAAACCGGGAGGTTTATCTCAAGATGTTTGCATTCCTACTTGGAAGTGAGAAGATTTAGGTATGAACATTATTGTTGGTTTGCCTCGCACTCGGTGACAACATGAATCGATTTGGGTTGTAAATGATTGAATAATGATTTAGCTCATTTTGTTTCCGTTTAGATTTGTTATTCGGTAGAAAACTGTTCTAAGTCATATTTGAGGGAAATGGTAATGTTGTATAGAGTGCCTTTAGAAGTACCAATTCACTTCTCAGTTTTGGAGGGATCTTGGTACTCGTGTCAAGGTTACTACAACTTTTATCCACAAACTTATGGGCAATCAGAGCATACTATACTAACTTTGGATGAGATGTTGAAAGCTTGTGTGATTGACTTCAAAATTAATTGGGATGATAACTTGCCTTTGATTGAGTTTGCATATGACAATAGTTAACACTCAAGTACTGGTATGGATCCATTTGAGGCATTGTATGGAAGGAGGTGTAGATTTATTATATGTTGGTTTAAGGTGAGTGAAGTTTCCCTAATAGGTCCCGAGTTGGTACATGAGGCTACGGAGAATGTTTGACTTCTTAGAGAAAGGTTGAAAACAACATAAAGTCAATAAAAGTTGTATGTCAATGTTAAAGAAAATATTTTGAGTTTGAAGTTATCAATTCATTTTATTTGAAAATCTTACCCATGAAGAGCATCATGAGATTCGGTAAGAAAAGCAATCTCAGTCCCCGTCATGTGGGCCCATATTAGATTTAAGGTATATTGGTAAGGTCACTTATGAGCTTGAGTTGCCTAATGAATTGGCATCGGTGCGTCAAGTTTTACATGTGTCTTTGTTGAATAAATGTGTTGGTGATCCGATAACTATAGTTCCCTTAAAAGGTTCGAGAGTTTATGAGAATCTTTCATACGAAGAAATTCTGGTTAAGATTTTAGGCTGATAAGTCAAGAAAGTGAGAAATAAAGAAATATATTCTGTGAAAGTGTTGTGGAGGAATCAGTTAGTTTAGAGTGCTATTTGGGAGGCCGAGACCGACATCATGTACTGATATCCTAATCTCTTTCCTTCTGCCACTACTCTAGCATGAGATAATAAGTTCCTCATCGTGAACTCTTTCAGTGTCTCTGTCTTAGATATTCCCATGATTTCCTCATTTATGCATGATTATGAAAAATATTATGTTTTAAGAAAATGAGTAGATTTGATTAATTTCTACATGTAGATGTATTTAAGTAGGAGTTTCATATAGACTTCACGAGATTATATGTTGAATATGATTTCCTGCTCGAATATGTGTATTTATGTGATTTCATGCTTGATGGTTGATTAACTCATGTCTCTATTTGATGTCTAGAATCCCATTTGAGGACGAATGTTTCCAAGGCGAAGTCAATGTGACACCTCAAAGATTATTAGTCTAGAAAAGAAGCCAAGTGGAAGGTCACCGACTCATGAGTGAGCCATGGCACCCTTTATGGAGCCCGAAACGGGATGTGAAGTGCACCGCGACACGTGATGGTTCTGGTGTGTTTCCTTCCACTATTTGTCCTGGAGGGCTCCCCTCCCATGAGAACCTAGAAAGCTCGTGGTGGAAACCAATGCTTGTGGTAGTGCCTTTGATGGGGAGGCAATAGCCACTTCACGTCTGACTCTCCATACAAGACACTAGGCGGCTTGTGAGAGCCATCAAAGCTCGTAAGCTAACAGTATGGACATGGACCATGGTCAAGACAATGATCATGGACCACGACTGCCACTATGGCCCGTTATGTCCTTGACGAATCGCGTAGGTCTCCATCTTGAGGTTTATCTTAGCTGTAAGCTAACGGCAGCTGGGGTTTTTTCGTAATTATTTTATCTTAATACAATGTAATTTTTCCCTTACCTAGAACCCCTATGCAACTGATTTTAACCTAAAAATTTACCGATTCAATTCCTTCTCTAAAATTTACCAAGAAGATCAAGTTCTTCCTCTCCAAAACATTTTTTTCTCTAGAAACATAAAGAGAAGGGTTCAGCCTAGGGTTTCTAGGCAAGTCTCCAATTCCACCATTGTCAAAAAACTTTTGGAATTGATGTATGATAGTTTTAATCCATGGATTGCTTCCATTCATAGATTTCCCAAATTCTCCTATTTTAAAATTTAGAATTCCCTAATATAGTTAGGGTTTTTCTTCTATATCATGGGTTCTCCCGAGTATTGATTTAACAGATGGAATTATAATCTCTTATGCATTAATTGATGAAATTTCATAGTTTTATGATGATTTTCCATGAACCCATGTAACTCCCATGCTTTCCAAATTATCATGATATGATGTGGATTTGGATTATGAATCAGGAGTTTATGAAATTAAGCATGTTCTTATGGGATATATGTAAATATTTAAGGATGCTTGGATAGTGAAGCATCAATGACAATGTTGTTGTGTTGCTAAAAGGATTTTCTCATATCCATATTAAAATGTGATTGTAAGAGGTTTTCTCATTTAGTAAGGATTAGGTTGAAAGGACTTCTCAAAAATGATGTGCCCTTCCATGGATAATGAGAAGAAGTTAAGAAATAGACTACCCCATTCTTTTTATGCTTACACCGAGAGAATATTTAGACGGAATTAAGCTATCCTTTGAGTAGCGGTTGGGTTTAAAGAAGAAATATCCTTATAAATTACTCATGTGCCCCCATAGGATGATTGTCTAGATATACATTATCTAGTAGATCCATAATAGCTAGAAGTTCATGATCCTTACCTTGGCAAGTAGAACAACCCTTTTCGGTGTGGGAGACAGAGGAGGTTGCATGTTATTGTTCATATGGTCTTTAAATTATTTAAGGATACTTCACATAATAATAAGGAACTAAGGTTCCTCATAGAAGTATCTCACATGTGTTCAAAGAACTTAAAGATGTTAGCTTGCATTTACCATGTTTTATGACTGCTATTTTCTAACCTTTTTTATATCATGTTTTAGCTTGGGTAATGAATGCCATAAAATGTCTTGCTTCATAATGATAATTTTTATACTAATGACTATCATACTTGGTACATGTCACAGCCCAAGAGTACTCTCTAAATTTAACAAGGCGTACAAAACTCTGAGAGGTCTTATAAAAGCCACTTAGCATATCATAAAATAAGATTATAAAAATGATTGACTATTTAAAACATTTTTTCATAAAATCAAATTTCTATAAACAAAACGGAAGACTTTTACACTTGTATTAAACCACCTTATACATGAATATCTTTGGGATGCAGACCATACAATAGTTTTACACATAAAATGAATTTATTAAAAAAGCATAGTGGTCAAGCCCTCAAAAGCTATCAGGACTCACCAAACTTTTCTTCTTGTTCTAGTATGAACTTGGTCACGAGGATGGAAGTCAATATCACCGGACTCTACATCTGATAAGAATGTAGGAAAAAGTACAAACACGTACTAAATATGATGGCTAACATAAATTATCAACAAGATCATAACACAAGTGTTAGTCAACATAAGACATTCATAACCATAAGAGATACATAATGAGACATAAACCATAAGAATAGAAGATACCAAACAATCATAGGCATACTCATAACCATAATGAGACATTCATAATCATAGGAGATACCACATAGTCATAGGCATAGTCAATGAATCTAGATCAACATAAGTCATAAGCATAGTTAATACACTTAAATTATCATGACGTAAGAGAATACTTCATAAGTAACCTTAACGCATACTTGTGCAATGCATGGATAAGACCTCATAAATCTCACCCATGCTAAGTAAACAAGTTGAGGCCATCATAATAATCGTCGTACATTAATATTATTCGTACCTTACCATACATAGAAAATGGTAAATCACATCTAGTCATACATGTAATGGAAGGCCTTTTAAGCTACAATTCACACTAGACATTCTCATATCATAGTTCACACTAATCTTGCTTACTCTTAAGACATAAGGACTCACCTTTCTATGTATACTATAAAGGATAATGGATATTCAGCACATGAATTACATATATAGTCATAGGTATGCTCCTCCATGTCCATTTTAATAAAATCATAGGTATTCGTCCTCATTCCCCTTCATAATATGATATAGGTAATCGTCGCCACATCATTTACTAAGGATCATAGGTGACATGTCCAACATAAAGGCTAATAGGTAATCACCTCTTGGCTTGCCTTAGAAGTCATATACATAAAGGGCAGTCTCCTCACATTTCTCATCATATGACATGGGTAATTACCTCAGATTTACTAACTTAGGAATATCGGAGCTCAGCTCGCATCCTTATCATATAAGGGTCTTAGGGAATTACATATAGACTCATGTAATTTTAGTTACTCATGAAAGAGTTTCATTGTCCTAACTATTTAAGGAACATCATTAACTTAACTCTTTAGACCATGCATGAGCAACTATCATCATACATGATCACTTTTACTCTTAGATTCATTTTAGGTTAAAAAAGCCTTCGACCTTATAATCTTCGTTAAGTGAGAAAGACTTTCATATCAAGTTTATTATGAGTTCACGAGAATAACCTTTCAATCAGACCACAATAACAACCTAATTATTTACAGTTCACTCTCAAAGTGCCCTTAACACATTTACATAGACTTCATAAAACATGTATGGTCTCACACTTTAAATCCTTTAGGTTCAAGGCTTACTTTCGATCAACATATATAGAATATACGAGTAGGACATGGATATCATCATAACTCAAGTGATTTTATCACTTCATACATTAAAATATTCATGTCACCTAAGGCTTGGCCATGTGAGTGCTGCACATCTGAAAAAACTTGTGTCATGGGACCTGGTTCATGATCAAACCAACTAGAATTTGCCGATAACAAGATTTGTAATGCATGTGTCAAAGGGAAACAAACCAGATCCTTCTTTAAATAGAAGAATGGTGTAAGCACAACTAGGCCCTTAGAAATTCATCATATAGATTTGTGTGGTCCCGTAAGATTCGATGTATAGGAGGAAAGAGGTACATCATTGTGATTGTGGATCATTATTCCAGGTTCATTTGGACTATGTTTGTAAGCACCAAGAATGAAATAGCTGAAGTTTTTATATTTTTTCTCAAAAAAGGTTCAAACGAAGCAGGATTATAAAATTGATCAGATCATGCCGGACCATGGTGCTAAATATGAAAATGCTTGTATTGAAGAATTTTGTTATTATAATAAAATCAATCAACCACAACTTTTCAGCTCCTAAAACCCATCAACATAGTGGGGTAGTTCAGAGGAAGAATAGGACAATGGTGTATATCACAAAGACAATTCTAATTGATTCAAATGTTCCAAAACACTCTTGGGTAGAGACAGTGAACACAACTTTCTATATAACTAACAGGTGACTTATTAATATGTTCTACAAAAGTCACACTTGAATTGTTCAACAAGACAAAGCCTAAGCTCAATTATCTCAAGGGATTTGGCTGAAAATTCTTTGTGGTAAAGATGACCTTTAGAAGATTGTCCCTATCAGTGATCAAAGAGTCTTTATAGCGTAATCTTCGGCAAGAAAGGCATGTAGACTTTAAAGTAAAATAACTAAATGCATCTAGGGAAGTGTTTATTTCATCTTTGATGAATTTGGTGGAACAGACAATCTTAAAGACAAAGCTAAAGCTTATATTGAAGAGCTATTGCAAATCTATAGAGATATTGTTTTTCAAGAAACAACTCATCATATTGAACCTACTAATGAACCTTCATTTGCAATATATATAGATGAAGATGAAGGTGAAAACACCAAAGATGTAGAACAGACTGTTGAGCCATATGCAAAAGTTGGAAAGAAGTCAGGATGGAAACATCATCCATCTCATCCCATGAACAATCGTGTTTCCCCATTTAACACTTGAATGCATACCATATGATAGACCAAAAATCTCAAGGATTTATTAGCATTCATATCTACTGCTAAACCCGAAAATTTGAACAAAACTTTAAAGGATGTTGATCGGTCAATTCAATGTAGAAGGAACTTAATCTGTTTGAAAGAAGTCAAGTATTGCACCTGATTCCTACACCAGAAAATAGAATTGTATTATAGGGACCATGTGGGTGTACCAAAATAAACTAAAAGAACATGGAGTTATTACAAGAAACAAGTCCAGATTGGTAGTGTAGGGGTATTATCCCGAGGATGAATTGACTATAATGAAATTTGCTTCCATTTCTAGACTGGAAGCCATTAGAACTCTAATATCTTTTGCTTCATATATGGATTTCAAATGGATATAAAAAGTGCCTTTCTGAATGGGTACTTGAAGGAAGAAGTATATGTCAAGAAGCCTTATGGGTTCGATGATGTTGATCTACCAAATAATTTCTTGAAGTATTACAAAGCTCTATATTGTCTAAAGTTGGATCAAAGATCATGATATGATTAATATGAAAGTTTTTTTAGAAAAAGGGTTCAAAAGAGGAAAAATTCAGAACACTTTGTTTCAAGAGGGAAGGAACTTCTCATTGTGTAGGTATGTGTCGATGACATCATTTTTGGATCAACATCAGACTCATTATGCAAGGACTTTGTCAACTTGATCGGAAATGAGTTTGAAATGAACATAATGAGAGAACTTACCTTCTTTTTGGGATAGCAAATGAAATAGCCAGCTCATGATACTTCTATCTTTCAAGAGAAGTATATCTAGAATCTTCTTAAAACTTCAACATATTGGAGGCCAAGATAATTGACACCCCTACAAGAATAAGATCCAAGCTTGACATCGATGAACAATGCATTAAAGTAAATGGAACTACGTAACGGGGAATCATTGGATCTCTATTTTACCTAACTACAAGTAGACCAGAAATTGTGTTCAACGTGTGATATTTCAAGTATGTCCTAAGGAATATCATCTTAAGGCAAGCAAACATATCTTAAGAAATCTGAAAGGAACTCAGGGCCTTTTCTTAATCTATCCTTCAGGATATTCTTTTGATCTGGTAGGATTCGTTGATTCAAACTATTAACAGTATATGGTCTAAAAAAGCACCTCGGGAAAGGCTCACTTTTTTGTGTCATCAATCATTTCACGGGGAATTAAGTAGGCTAACTCAGTGGCCTTATCAATGGTTGAAGCAGATTATGTTGTAGCTTCCTCAAGTTATGCGCAACTTCAATATATAAAAGACATCTCAAAGAATTTGATGGTTTCATATACAATTC